TTTGCTATCACTGCCCTCCATGGCCTTGGCAAACGCTTCCACATCTGAATACCAAGACAAAGCAAATGAGTGCTTGTGGGTAGCAAACATGAAGTAGTTATTACTAATAGTGAAAACTGAATTCAGGATATGCACTTTCCCTTATAAGTTCATAGAAATTTTGAATTCAGATTTTATGCTTCTGATTGATATGACGCACATCTCACCTCCTTTATTAGCTGCGTCCACTGCTTCAGAGGGCAGACCAAACTGGTTCATGAGCGGGCCGAGCTGCCCAGAGGCCAGAGCACTGCTGAACATACTCATCGCCTGCACAAACACCGACACACAGCATGTTTACATCAAAGCAGAATATACGGACAAGCCCAAGACGAACATTTATAGAGATTCCCACAAATTGCTTCTGTAAATCACTACATATAGCTGGTAAGATTTTATAAAATAAACAACAAAATGCCATAATTCATTGATGACTAATTCTTCTTCTGCCAAGCAATGATTTCAGCCGACATTTAGCAGAATGGTCTTTTAGAACCGCTTCAAATACGGCTCATGCAATCATAATAAGGACGGGATCTTTTTATAATTCATCTTTAACTTTTTTCCATTTTATGATGGGTGGCAAGCAGCATTAAAGGGAATTGTTCACCCAAAAATGAACATTTTGTTATTATGCCTCACGTCGTTCCAAACCTGTATGAATTTCTTTCTCATGTTGAACACAAAAGAAGATATTTTGAAGAACCAAACAGTTGATGGTCCCCACTGACTTCCATAGAAGGGAAAGAAATACTGTGGAAGTCAGTGGGGACCATCAACTGTTTGGTTCTTCAAAATATCTTCTTTTGTGTTCAACATGAGAAAGAAATTCATACAGGTTTGGAACGACGTGAGGCATAATAACAAAATGTTCATTTTTGGGTGAACAATTCCCTTTAATGCTGCTTGCCACCCATCATAAAATGGAAAAAAGTTAAAGATGAATTATAAAAAGATCCCGTCCTTATTATGATTGCATGAGCCGTATTTGAAGCGGTTCTAAAAGACCATTCTGCTAAATGTCGGCTGAAATCATTGCTTGGCAGAAGAAGAATTAGTCATCAATGAATTATGGCATTTTGTTGTTTATTTTATAAAATCTTACCAGCTATATGTAGTGATTTACAGAAGCAATTTGTGGGAATCTCTATAAATGTTCGTCTTGGGCTTGTCCGTATATTCTGCTTTGATGTAAACATGCTGTGTGTCGGTGTTTGTGCAGGCGATGAGTATGTTCAGCAGTGCTCTGGCCTCTGGGCAGCTCGGCCCGCTCATGAACCAGTTTGGTCTGCCCTCTGAAGCAGTGGACGCAGCTAATAAAGGAGGTGAGATGTGCGTCATATCAATCAGAAGCATAAAATCTGAATTCAAAATTTCTATGAACTTATAAGGGAAAGTGCATATCCTGAATTCAGTTTTCACTATTAGTAATAACTACTTCATGTTTGCTACCCACAAGCACTCATTTGCTTTGTCTTGGTATTCAGATGTGGAAGCGTTTGCCAAGGCCATGGAGGGCAGTGATAGCAAACCAGATGACGGCGATTCCAAAGACAAGAAAGATGATGACGAGGACATGAGTTTGGATTAGAACAACCTTCTGAACACAGTCGTCTCTCTGAAGTGTTAGTCTGGGTTGTTTGCCTGTACTCATATTGATTCACGCATGTGTTTTGTATGTCCACAGCTACACTATTAAACAACTGACTCTGTAATTCCAGCTTGTGCATGTGTGAAGTTGATCAACATGAAATCAAAGTGACAAAACATAAAGGAAATGTTTATTGCCAATAAAAATACAGCTGAGGGAATCTGACAAAACATCAAAAGTGACAAAAATAATATTTCTTGAGTTTTCAACTCCAGTGATTTTACATAATACACAATGAATCCCTATGGCACATGGGAAATCCACATTCAATTGCCCTCCAGTGTATTTATACAACTACATATTCCCATAAAACCCATTTAATGGTCATATGATTGTATCAATGTACTAATTAAACCTGGAACAATATGAATCCAGTGCCAATCCATCTCTATATTACTCTGGTCCCTGCCGTTCTGAACGTAATAGTTTATCAGTGGCGTATCGGCACTTACAGTGCTTTTTAATCTACATACACCGGTGTCATGAAAGTAAACATAAATATCAGTTTAAATTAAACGCTAAGCAAACCCACCACCTGCTGATTTGATAGTGTGAGTGTAGAGTATGTAGGGTTAATGTAGCTGTGGTCTATAATGCAGGGCAGCCCTGAGTTCCCACAGATCCAGACACTGACAGGGGTTTGGACAGCATGACAGGCCTGTGGTTCAGTATGGCTTTCCTCACACATCCGTGGAAAGAGAAGACGGTTGACGGGAGACCTGGCACGGCTATGGTATCTGCACACGAGGACAACAGGCTTAGGTCAATATTGAGCATCGCACCTCATTTATTTCAATGTAAGATTTTGTTCATTTAGCTTTAAAAATTTGACTTGACAGGAATTGTAAATATTGATTTGGTAGCGTTCAGATTTCATACCTGGCACACCGCCCAGATAAACAGTCTCTTTGCCCCCATTTGATCTGCTCGGTTTGGGACCCACTCCATGTTCACTCACCGCATCCACGTGTAGCTGGATGACGTTGCTCTTCTTCACAACTAAAATCACAAAAATGCAAGTGTCAGATACATTGACGGAGTATCTTTCTATTTTAACTAGGGCTGCCAGTCGATTAAAACGTTTAATTTAATTAATTACATGGTGTGGCGATGAATTAATACATTTGGCTGTGAAAATACCCACAAAAGATTATTTCAAGCTATTATTGTGTTAAATGAGAAAGAAGCAAGTAGACATTACAAATAGTAGCTTTAGAAAAAAATATTTGATTTGATTCAACATAAAATTTATTACACAAACGTTTAGGCTACAACGGTCGGCCTAACAAACTATGAAACATAAAAGAAGATAATTTGAGAAACATCTTAGCATTTTCTGTTAATTTTTTTGTTCTATCCCTTTAATGTTTTTTTTATTTGTCTACTAATTTATTTATTTCAAATAAATAAAATTACACTCTAAAGTAGAAACTAAAACTGCCAGCAGGTGGCGGTAAATGTCTTTATGAGTTTTTCGTTCATTCATGGGCATTTGAATCATTGATTCACACGATTCGTTCAAAACGCGGATTCATTCAGAAACTAAGCACTGCTATGTTGCTCACAGATGCATAACAGTTCTGCTGTGGCTTTGTGGGTAATATTTTCGTTGGCAAAATTGAGCAATCTTTCTATTTCTATTTATTAAAATTAAACACAATATTAACTTCTTATTTACTGAACTGTTGTATAAAATCACATTTGCACTTGTGGTATTCGGACATAAACAGCACTCGTATGATATTGCTTTCGCTACTCATGTGATATTGTTTATCATATTATATAAATATGAGACAAAAACTCATACAGGGGCATTTTTTGCCCCAATATCTTGAATTTTAGGGCATAACTGCCTTTATGGAGTTGTTGCCCTGCATCATATTTGTCAACAGTCAACTGTATGAAATGTAAGATGACGTACAGGTCTGGGGGCGGGGCCAGTGCGTTAACTACATTAAAATATTTTAATCGCGTTATTTTTCGCTAATTAATTAATGGGTTAAACTGAGAGCCAAGTAAGGTTACTAATGCTAATAATGATATTAAATTCAAATGTCTTTCTTTGGTTTCCAAATAAAAAAAATAAAGACCACAAAGGTCAAATGCAGTGTGATTGTTTGCGTTTTTAAAGACTCGCCTGCAATAGTGTGCCAACCTCCATCACAGAGAGACTCTTCTGGTGTGAGACTGACTGAAAACTCTCCACTGCCGCTGTTCACCAACACAGTCACCTGCACAGAACAAACAGACACTTCAAACTGGTGTATGGCTCCGTCCCACTGACTTTCAGGCAGCACCACCAACCCTAAACGACTTCCCTGCCCACATCTGTTGAGTTATTGCATGTGTATGTGTGAGTGCACGGCTGTGTCACCTGGCCCTGGTTCAGATAGAGACTCAGCTGTCGAGTTTTCTTGGCTCCAGCGTGCAGCAGGAGTCCAGAGTCCGAAACCAGACGCACCTCCAGCTGGATCTCGAGGTCCCGGGCCAACACCAGCGATTCATCTAGCATGACAGAGAGCCACAATAAACAAAGTGTGCTGTACACCATCTTTCTGAATTCAGTCTGAAGCGTGTTTGATTGATTGGCTCACCGATGGTCAGATATCCTCCCTGACTGGAGAAGTAAACCCCGGGCTGGAGGGGCTGCTGGTAGCAGGGTGTCACTCCCACGCTGTGAGAGGGGCTCTGTGACAGCACCTCGTTCAGTTCATTCAGAAACTAAGCACTGCTATGTTGCTCACAGATGCATAACAGTTCTGCTGTGGCTTTGTGGGTAATATTTTCGTTGGCAAAATTGAGCAAAAAGACACAATATTGTGTTTAAAATTAAACACAATATTAACTTATTTACTGAACTGTTGTATAAAATCACATTTGCACTTGTGGTATTCGGACATAAACAGCACTCGTATGATATTGCTTTCGCTACTCATGTGATATTGTTTATCATATTATATAAATATGAGACAAAAACTCATACAGGGGCATTTTTTGCCCCAATATCTTGAATTTTAGGGCATAACTTCGTTTATGGAGTTGTTGCTCTGCATCATATTTGTCAACAGTCAACTGTAAGATGACGTACAGGTCTAGGGGTGGGGCCAGTGCGTTAACTGCCTTAAAATATTTTAATCGCGTTATTTTTTCATAACTAATTAAGTTAATGCGTTAAACTGACAGCCCTAATTTAAATATATTTTAATTACACATTTGTAATGAAGTGAAATGTAAGATGACGTACAGGTCTGGCGGCGGGGCCAGTGCGTTAACTACATTAAAATATTTTAATCGCGTTATTTTTCGCTAATTAATTAATGGGTTAAACTGAGAGCCAAGTAAGGTTACTAATGCTAATAATGATATTAAATTCAAATGTCTTTCTTTGGTTTCCAAATAAAAAAAATAAAGACCACAAAGGTCAAATGCAGTGTGATTGTTTGCGTTTTTAAAGACTCGCCTGCAATAGTGTGCCAACCTCCATCACAGAGAGACTCTTCTGGTGTGAGACTGACTGAAAACTCTCCACTGCCGCTGTTCACCAACACAGTCACCTGCACAGAACAAACAGACACTTCAAACTGGTGTATGGCTCCGTCCCACTGACTTTCAGGCAGCACCACCAACCCTAAACGACTTCCCTGCCCACATCTGTTGAGTTATTGCATGTGTATGTGTGAGTGCACGGCTGTGTCACCTGGCCCTGGTTCAGATAGAGACTCAGCTGTCGAGTTTTCTTGGCTCCAGCGTGCAGCAGGAGTCCAGAGTCCGAAACCAGACGCACCTCCAGCTGGATCTCGAGGTCCCGGGCCAACACC